GCAATATATATGTAGTATTGAGTCATCGTTAAGTTATTCTAAACTGTTCCAAAAACTTGAATTTAAAAAAAACTCCTAAAACCGGAGAGAAATTAGGAAGTCGGAAAGTGATCGGAAAAATATGCTAAAATCGGAAAAAATCGGAACATCGGAAAGTCGTCGGAAAAAATTTCAAAAATCGGAATTTTTCCTGCCATATCGGAAGATTTGGCCACCCTGGTGTGGGTGGGTGTGGATGTGGGTGTGGGTTAGGGTGTGTAGGTGTGGGTGGATGTGAATGTGGGTGCGTGGGTGTGGGTATTCCCTGTACTAATACCCACACCCACACTCGCACCCTATATTCTGTTGGTATAAAATCGAAAGTTTATGGACAAAATGTTTTTTTCGTTTATTAATTGATAAAAAAAATTCGACATTAATATTTGAATCATTTTTATAGAACTTATAGTTTAATTCTTATGCATAAGTGTATAGATGAAACAATTGTAGGAATAAGTGGCAAGAGAGAATATTCGATTGTATCTCTTTCCAATCTGATTATCTATCTACTATATTTTTCGTAAAATTTTCTTATCTCTTTCATAAAACATGCAGTTCAGCTTCTCTAGAATTCTTTTCGATTAGCTCCACCATAGTTTCAGCATTTTTTTCAGATTAATACCTAGATAGGATTCATCTTCCCACCAAGATCATTCCTCATTGAATATTTCCTATGACTTGTTTTTCGCTCCGCATCAACAGCGAAGACAGTTTTCCATAAATGTAAGCTAAACATTGAGTAGCTGTCGATGCTGCCTACAAAGATGATTGAACTCTTTATGATAAAGTGAATAGAAGCTTCATGGAAACTTAATGATGAAATCATCTTTTTCGAGAGAAATACTTGCTACTTTTTTAAACGAATTAAGCGTTTAGTTTTGATATGTATTCTTCTTCATAGCTAAATCTGTTCATAGTTTATTTTCAAATCTTGGAAAAATTCTCATAGAATAAATACGAGTAAAAGATTCAGATAGTAAACCTGTGATATAAAGTTTCTACCTAACGTCTTTTATTATTCAAACAATGAAAAATATTTTATCGAAAAATACAGTCGTATTAAAATTCTTTTAACAACTAAAACAAGTCAATTTTTACTGAGTAGTTTCTTGGCAGCTAAGGTTTTTTTTTGTTTCAGTCCATTGTCGAGATCGCTGTTCTAATCTTCTTTTTGTTTCTTCTTTCATCATCATTTCTTGAACATATGTTGGGAAACCTGGATTAAGACTGATTGTATATGAAAGTAATTGTTTTGGCATATTAAAACGATCAACCATAACCCGGATAAACATTGTGTCGTCTTGTACATACGGAGTTCCTTCCTGTTGAATCATTGTTAATCGAACAAATTTAGGGATACCACTTGCAATATTCATATCCGATCGAGGTCTTTGAAAGCTACATGATCTAATATCAGGTCGAAAGGAGTCGATAATGTGCTGTTCTTCGTATATTTGATTGTATAGACAAAATATTACTTTGAAATTGAATGGAAATTTCAGAATAGCATCATATTCACCTCGCATCAGTACAAAAAAGAGTGACATATGTGTATGACGAGCATCTCCATCGCCATTTAAATAAAGACGAAGCCGCATTTTATAACCCTGTGGTGATGAATAAAATATTGGCGAATAAATTGATGCTTGTTGTTCAGATTGGGCATCAGCTAGAAATCAAATAATTCAAAAATGCATGAAAAAAATTAGGAGTAAATATAAATAAATCGACACCATGAATTAATTATTTCTTTAAATTCTTCAATAGATTACTTAAACATTGTGTTCGACAGTAATTATAACTATTATGTTGAATGTAGCATTCATTCATAAACATATTATTGATCGATAATAAGTAAAACAAATAAAGTCACTTACTTATTTTTCGTTGAACATTTGTAATTTTCCAAACCAATGTTCCATCATATGAAATAGGTTGCAGATCATCGATCTTGTCTTGCAATGATGCTAAATCTTGATTGAAAATATCTTGATCATGTTTTGCTGCTTCCAAAAAAGTATTTGATTCTTCTATGGACAATTTAATTTTATAATCTCCTGCACTTTTTGTCTGAGGAACATTAATCTCTATTTTTCTTTCGTTAGATTGTGATAAAATTTGACGAATAACTTTGATCAAGACATGTTGATGTTGTTTAGTCAAATAATGATCTCCCATTTTGGCAGGAATAATCTAGAAAAGATGAGTTTTCCTATATATTAATTTTATCTCGAAAAGATTCATACTCGTTCATGACAACCAAAGTCTTTCAATAAACAAGCAACAGTCAATTTTTGACATTCAGAAACTTTATATTCATTGGATTGGTTAATTGAATTGAACTGTTCATGACCATATGCATATTGCAGATTTGAATGAAATTGATCGAAATGTTCCTTGCGAATAAAAAAAAAACAAAAGATTCAGAAATAAAATTAATGTAAAATAAGTTACTTGATACTTATTTAAGATCCCAGTCCACTCGCAAAAAGAGCAACTAATAGATAATGATTTCATGTCATTTTTGAAACCACGATCAATTAGTACCTACAAAAAAGAAAAATAATTTCTATTTAATGATGACAAAATATCTTACTTCGTTTCGTGAGGTTTCTGTTTGACATTGTAGACATTTAATTATCGGTCTTAAGAAGAAATATTGAAAAATAATATCTCATGTTAATAACACAACTCACTCTTGCTGAACTTTCAAACATGTTTGACACTGTCGATGACCACATCCCGTCAATTGTATGGGATCTCGTAGTATGAATGAACACATGTGGCAAATATATTTCGGATCAAGACTTTCTTTGTTTCTTGCATCGAAACCCACCATTCTTTTTCTTTAACTAATACTAAAACGAACTTTGCATGTTGTGAAGATGTTCTATAAGTTTTATTTCATCCATTCGACTGTATTTCGTGGTTTTTTAGTGAATTCATAAAAAAAAATAGTACAAATTTCTATTTTAATTTATTATCAATAGTGACAGTCTTTATATAAGTTCAGTTGAACAGTATGACTTATTTTATAATACGGTTATCAATATTTGTCACTTTTTCCTGAAAACAGTTCACTTATCTCTATTTTGATATTTATTCAGAAATGAGTTGCCTTTTTGAGAAACTCTTCTATTTAAAGCATCAGCCCTAAACCTCGAACTCGAGTGAACTTTCAACTTTTTCATACTCTTTGTATTGCTATTCTGAGAATTTTTATGACCTCAGAATGGTTTTAAATTAAAATTAAGATCTTTGTGTTGTTCTAGATTGAACAAAATTTTGAGATGCACTTTCATTCATTTTTTCTATGGTTAGTTTAGCACATTCGATGGTTCAATCAGAAAAAAACAAATTCACTTCACAACACTAAATCTCAGTTTTCTTAAAACAGAAATTAACTATAAAAAATACGGTTTACCAAAAATCTGCGGTAAATTTCACGTTTATAACCAAAAATTTGTTAGTTTTACCTTGGACTATATTTTTAATGTCCAAAAAGGTTTTTTTAGGGCTTCTTCTTTCGGGTAAAAGAAAGAACTTTTCAGAGACCCAAAAGATTCTGCAAGGGTACATATTATTTTGCAATAGATGCTTACTAAAGTAAATGATTTACATTGAAGAAGAACGTATAAATAAGTCGTGAACTTTTTTCACATGCATTTCGACAAGGAAGAGTTATGTCCAACTAATAGAATTAGGCGGAATGGAACGACTTTTTGGTCACTTCACAACGTTCTGATGCTTAATATATTCACATGAATTTTTTTCAAGATGTAATACATGAGGTAAGCTAGCGCCATCTATCGAACTTCAATCTTATAGAATATTTATAAATTGCTGATGCAAGAGCAAACAAGAACTTTTTCAACAGCTATAAAAACAAGAAAAATTTCTCTCAAAACAAAACGAGGATTGAAACTTCTTTCAGAAGTTTGTTAAAGTTTTGCCTGGTTTCAAAACGTCATATAGACGCATACATTCTAAAAAGAAGGTAATTATGCTGTATTGTTTTCATGATGAAGACTCGACTTTGAATTTTTTTGAAATAAAAGATTATCTCAAGTGTGGGAAAGGGACGGACTTTAAAAAACTGATTTAAGACCAAAAAAAGGTATCATCAGTAAAACGTTCGAATGATAACTAAACTACTAACCTTAGCAACCGTAGTCCAAACAAATAGAAAACTTGATTATAATATGAAAAATGATGCAATGCAATGCAATGGCTTTATATGTGTAAAGGACCTACGCATATAATGAATCATAAATTACACAACGGGTGGGCGATTAAGAAGAACAAGGCGTCAAGTACCCTCGCAAAAGTTGAGTAATTAGTATGCTATCCGAGTCTTTTTTCCACATTGGAAGATCAAGTTTGTGCATGACATAGCAAAATAAAATGATAGAGTACAAGAACAAGTTTTCATTAAATACACTTCTTAACAATAAATGATTTATAAAAAAGGTAAAATTGCGTCATGAAACTTTTGGGAACAAACCCTTGTGATACAGATGATTATTCACTTAAATATACTAGAAAGAGGTTTTTATTAAATTAGTTAGAATATCGTTATTTCTATCGTTAGAATTTCTAATTATTGAAAATAAAGTGTAAAAGTATTCAAAATATGCAGGTGGCTTGATTTTTACAGATTATATATTTGATTTGGCTACTATTTAATCGGTCAGTAAAATAAATGAAATGGTCAGTAGATGAAAAGATCAGTAAATTCAATGAATGGTCAGTAAAATAATGATTGATCAGTGAACTAATGAAATGGTCAGCTATTAACGACGTCAATTTGTAATTAAATGAAATGATCAGTAAATAAAATGTATCACCAGTAAATTAAATGAAAAGGAAAGTGCATAAATTAAAATGTGCGATAGTATCATTCACGTCTATTTTTTTTCTGTTTTACTATGTTAGCGGATGATGGGTGGTATATGTTTTTCTCTTTCCTTCTGTAACTTTGATATCTGTCAAAAGTATATATGTTTCGTTTCTATTTGGAATTTTCCTCGATTTACTTAGCGATCGTACGTTCCCTCTATGGATTTTTTCATAACGCGATCGAAAATTACCACGTCTAGGTGCTATCTAATACCTATATAAACTCGCGAATTGTCCGAATAATTGATCATCATCAAGCGAACAAACACTAGATTCACAAATGAAAGCAGTAGAAGTAGCTCAGTACGAGAGTGATTCAAAGGATGAAGAAATTATTGAAGAACACAGTGTGAGAAATGAAAACAAAAGAGTTCATAGAAAAAAGAAAACCAAGTTTTGGATCAAAGAAGCAACGTTTAATAATGCTGGTGAAGCAGAAGCATCGATTAAAAGTGAATGGTCAAAACATTATACAAATTATACTGCAGATGGAAGAAGAGTCTATTATAGGTGTAGAAAAGCCAAACGTCATGGTCTTCAATGCAGTTCTTCTATCTCTTTGCTCCACCATGCTGATAGTGATAAAGTGACTATGTACAGAACTGAAGCTGATCATGATCATTATGATAACGAAGCTCATGGTATAGCTAAAGATGTCAAACAATGTATAGAAGAATTATGTAATGATGGTATAAAGAAGCCAAAACTTATCATTCGAGCTCTTCAATCTAGACAATTAAAAGTGCCAACATATGCACAGCTGAATAATTACCTTGGCTATTATAAAAGGAAAAAATATGGTTCACATACAATTAGTCTAGGCGAATTAAATCAATGGTGTCAAGATAATTCAAATGTTCCATCTCATGAAAATAAAGCTTTTGTTGTTTCTTATAAGATACTATATGATGATGAAGAGTATGAAGATGTTGATGATACAAGTGGAAGAATCTTTCGCTTATTTTTATCATCTGTGCGCTTCCTTAATATTGGATCAGTAGCCTCTCATATAAATGCCGGTGCCACTTTTAAGCTTGTGTGGCAGGGCTTTCCAGTCTTGGTCATTGGTACAACTGACCTAAGCAAGGCATTTCATCCACTTGGATTGGCTATTTGTTCAAATGAAAAAGCAGAAGATTTCGAACTCATCTGCAATGCTCTTCAAATTGGTATGCAAAAAATCAAGAAAAATTTATTAAAACCAAAAGCATTAGTATGGAATGCAGCTGATTCAATTAAAAATGGTTTTAGAAGCGTGTTTGGCAATTCGTTTGATCAAATCATGTGTTGGTCCCACATGAAGCGAAAGATTGAAAATCGTATATGTCAGGTAAACGATAGAGATATTGCTAAAGAAATGGTCGAAGACATCGAAATGCTTCAATTATGTAACTCTTCGAGTTTATTTGAATTAGCAACTACACTGTTTATGCAAAAATGGAAATATAATACTAAGGAAAAAAATCAATCGGTATTAGATTTTTTAGAGTATTTTGATGATGAATGGCTTAAATCAAACCCTGGTTGGTATGAAGGTATTCGACTTTATACACCAAGTACCAACAATGCGTTGGAAGCAATCAATAGAACGATCAAAGACGATGGTACATTTCGAGAGCATCACGTTTTATCGAGATTCTTGACAGCGTCTTCAAATATTGTACGTAATTGGTCAATCAATCGTGATCCATCATCGGCAAATCCAAAACAATTTGCTACAGAACCAACAATTACTTTAGACTTATGGACTCGATCATATCAATGGGCAAAATCAAATAAAAATATAATTTGTATTCCAAATGACTCTGCGAAGATTTATTATATACCAGCACGTGATTTACGATCGGTTTCTCAAACTAATCTAAACAGATATAGAAAACAAAAAATTCACAACGTTCAATCAATTCAAGAAATCATTTGATATTTGGTGTGTGATAATGGAAAATGATTCACATTGGAAAACATCAAAATGTAACTGTCCAGCTTTTCTTAAAAACTATATATGTAAGCACGTTGTTGGCATGAGTATACGGTTAAAATATTGCAAACTACCACCAGCAGCAAAGACAATTCCGATTGGCGAAAAGAGAAAACGTGGTCGACCAACAAGAGTTAAACCCGCTGTTAGTGCAATAATTTAATGATCTTTTTCTTTATTAACACTAATTCACAAATGTCTTATTTAATATTTCATCAGATTCCTTGTTATATTTTCTAAAATTCTTTCTTTACATTTCTTTTTCTTCCGCTAAAGTATACTTTATACTGACAAAAGGTGTTTTTCAACTGATCAAAACTATATTTTTTACTGACCAAATTTCTCGTTTCTACTGATATAAATTATATTTTTCTACTGCCACTTATACGTAATAAACTGATCACTTCCTAATTATTTACTGATATTTTTAATACTGACAAACCAATATATATACTGATCATTTCTATACTCTTTTACTGACCATTTCATTTATTTTACTGACCGGTTAATATTTTCCCTTTGTAAAATATAAGTGTAACTTGAGAGAAACCGAATATTTTGTTATATATGTAGAGAAAATGCAGTAATAATGAAATTTCCATTATTATTCCTTTATTTCATAAGTATAGTAGAATTTTCGACCATTGACTGTTAGTAGCAAGCTAGAGTATGCGTTCATCATCAGTACATTAGCCAAATACATTGATATCTAAGCAAATCCATAATCTAAATACACAAACTAATCCATGATTAGACCAAATTAAAACCAAAAATAAGAACTCAAGTTGATTATGAAACAAAAATAAGGGAAATTTCATTATTACTGCATTTTCTCTACATATATGATTTTTATTTAGATGAAAGGTACTCAAACTCAAGGAGAAAATATCGCGGACAATGGTGGACTGAAAGAAGCTTTTCTCGTGAGATTTCTTTTCTTTTTCTCATAAATATATCAGTTTACTTCTATAGGCCTATCGCAATTGGGTTCGACTCAGAGGAACTGAGGAGAAAAGATTACCCGACTTACAAAAATATTCACCTGAACAGTTGTTCTTTGTCAACTTTGGCTACATGTGGTGTTCGAAAATGACAGATGAATCGACTTTCTCATTTGTTTTACAAGATGTACATTCGTTACCACAGTTCAGGTATATTATTCATTGTATCATTCTCATTCGTAATGATTATTTAAAGTCTTCGATCTATTTCAGAGTGATTGGTCCAACGTCGAATTTTGCCGAATTCGATCGAGTCTTCGGCAATAAACCTGGCCAAGGCAACAGTCGAGTAAACAAATGTACCGTTTGGTAATGTGAATCGATATTCGATTCTTTTATTTTCTTTACAATTGGACGTCACATTTTCTTGTGTTTGTTGTTTTCTGTTGACTACACTGCAATTGTATTCCGTTTTATAGATCAATTATTGTACATTAGAAATATGTAAATGTTGTCATCCGATTTATTCATTGATGACAAGAATCAATGCATTCTTTTTTTGTCATCTTTTTCATATGTATTAAATTTTCCTTCTAATTCTGTGACCTACAAATTATTTATCAATACAGAGTAGCACTTTTTTAAAAGATTTTATTCGTCGTGTTTTAACGTGCGATTTCGGTTTCATGCTAACGATGCATAGGAATAAGATTTTTCAAATCATTGATAATTAACCAAAGTTAAAAGAGAAAATTCAACTGTATTTTTTTCATGTCGACAAAGATAGGTTGTTTCATTTGTCGAAATCTTCTGCAGAAATCTACCACTTTATTGTTAAAGTCGTCAACTTTATGTAAACAAGGATATTTCATTGCTCAAAGGTTCACAGAAGCAAAAGTCAAATGTGCATACACCATTCCAAATACTGATATGATTGTCAAATTGAACCCGTCAATCTTTGAAAGCTTGATACTCAAAGGATTCCTTTTTAATGAAAAAATAGCAATACTGCGGAATTACTGTTACAAAGATGTCTATCATTCAATTTCTTCTTTGTGTGTCTTGTGCAGATAATGTGTGAAGAAGAACTATCCGGCAAAGATTCATCAATAATCTTGAGAGTTGGGGTGGAGATGGGTAAGATCTGTCATGATCAGTGTCTATTTTGCTGACATCAGAGTTTCATCAGATGACTTGAATTCAGTTTTCCTTCAGATAGGATTAAACATTTTTGTTTTGTGAAGGAATAAAATCTGAGATGAAATCAGGCTGTTCTGCTATTTTCAATTAAGATCGAGTAGAGATAATATCAGAAACCTAACATAGTGGTGAGTTTGATCTACCATGTTTTTCATTTCGATTTCGCTGTGTAATATTATTATCGTATTATGTTTTGTTTTAAAGCACGTATAAAATATCGAAGTTATTTTTTTCCATGGCTATACAATCCTTGTTGACATTACTATCTGAAATATTTTTGTATTTTTATTTATTTGGTATAATTGCTTTCGTCTTCTTCCTTATATTTTAAATGGAATTGATATTATGTTACTTTTCATGTTACTGGATATTTGGTTTATGAAAGGATCTGAAAATGAAAAGAAAAGTGAATAAATGGAAGCTGTTTCTTCCTATTCATATTATTGTGCAAATAATTTAAACTATATGGTAACGATATCTACCTTTTTTTCCTTTTAAAACATATAACTACAGCTAATACACTTCTAATCGTCGATTTATGTTCACCAGTTCTTACTTGTAGTAATATTCCTTGATTACTATTTGCATTTACAATAATTAAACAGCTTGATGTTTGAGCATCTGTAAGATGAAATCCAGTGCCTAAGTAACAAGTTTTGATTATGAAAATTTTTATTTTCTAATTCTTTTTATTAATTCTTCTGAAGTTTTTAATTCAATTACAATTTTATTGATATATCTTTGCCAATGTTCGGCCGAATTCTTTAAAGCTATTAATATTTTTTTTCTTGATTTTCTTGTTGTGAAAGAATTTTATATTATGATAAGATTTCGAGAGTACACATAAAATATCGTATTTTATCTTGATTAGAACATCTAATTTAAGTCGATAAGCTTCTTGAATTTGATTGCCTAAGAATTTTATTTCTAATCATCTTTTTAATATTGAAGTGGTTGTGTTTTTAACATAGATATACAATTTTTTGATCTTAGTTTTTTCGACAAAATTCAAAATATCTTCAAATTTTCCTAAATTATCTATATTTTCACAACTAATGTCTTTTTTGCTGAATAAACGTTGATAAACAATTTTGGGTAGACATTTTTTTATATAAATCGAGAAATGGATTCTCACTATTCAATAAGATATGTTTAGAACTTTCAAAATAAATTTCCATTACATATCACAGTGATCTTTCTCTAATCCTTCATGTTCTTCAATGTCAAATCAAACTTGATAAACAAAAAATATTCTGCTTCACTTACTCTGAAATCTTTCTATTGATTCAAAAACTAAAAATTTTCTGTTTCACTGATTTTGTCAAGCCCGATGTACTTCAATGCAGCCGTCATTTTGAATAAATTTAAATGTAAATAAATTTGAGAGCTACTATTTTTTTTCCTACTTTATCAATAACATTATCACATCATTCTTGAAATATTACAGACTCTGAAACTCTATCATGCGTTGCCTATTAAAAAGATTGTTTTCTAAATCTCCTAATTTTGAAATTTCTATATCTTTAGATACCAAAACAATACATACAAGTATATCAAAATGGAATTTCACATAGTCGTCATTTTTATTCAAAATATCTATGAAAATGTCCAATACACTTAAAAAATTATTTGTTTGAAATTGTGGTCTTTTGATATTTTTTTGCATGCATTTTAAATATGCTGATTTATTGTTTTAGATAAAATACCAATCGAACTGTGTTCTATGCACAGAACAAACACTTATCAGTCATTCGATGTTTTAAACAGACACTACCTCGGACAAAAAATTTTTACACCCTCCTAAAGTTTCAAGGGTACGGGTGTTGCGCTCATACGTCCACCTATACCTACATCCCGTCCAATACAAGTCATTGAAATATTTAATATTATATATTGAATAGCATTGCATTATTAATAAGTGAATAATGAATTGTTGTATTATTACATTGATTGTAAATCAAATTCACTAGTAGAACATTGTACCAATGTTGCCACTTGATTTTGACGTATTCTTTTTCTACAATACATTCGCCAACATTTATTTATAAAAACATATTTAACTTGTCGACGAAATCGTGTTGATGATATTAAAAAT